CTGCTATGATCCAATCAATGTTAACCAGCTTTTATAATAAGTGCAACATGTCTATTCAACATTGTTCATTCGACGACATTACCAACGGTAAATAAATGAATAAATCCAATCACTTTGAGCACACCGTAAATACTGCGACTCAATACATCGCCGCTATCATCGGTCCAACAAACGGGGGCAAAGCGAGCGATAGATATCGCGCTTTAACACGTTGAGCTAAGGTTGAAATTCGACCGGACCGTAAACGGATCTTCCAGCAACGGATAACAGTTGCGGGACTTACGTCGGCCTATCATACAACACATCTCGCCGCAACCGGACGCAATTCATTCGCAACCGGACTGAGTGGACGGCAAACGTCGCTTTGGGCGGACGCACAAAGGCAAATTCACCACACGCTCCTTGCGGGAATGTTCCGGATTGCACCGCACCTTTAGTATCGGACATGTATTAAGATTATCCCGCGCCGGTCGGAATGGAGGTCGGTTTAGAGAAACATGCAACATGAACTTACAGACGTGGTATCGCTGATTGAAAAATAATTTTTCTCTAGAGCCCTCATCCCTGTCTAAATGTTGTATCTGCAGGTCCGATTTTTTTTTCCCGAATGTTTGTTTCTCTGTTTTTTGTAAACATTGCCCTCATTTTAGGACAACATTATCCTGTGTTGTAAGGACGTTTTACAAACATAAATTGCACGAGGACAAACACCTGAATGCGAAACAACTATCTGTGGGTCGCACAAATAGTTATCCCGTGTGAGAATCGAACCCTCAACGTCGAATTAACCAATACCTTGGCAACTGCGCCATGGACTTCTTACAGCACTAAATCCAGGTAATGTACAAATTATTTTAAAATGTTACGTTTTTTAACTCTATTGATGTTAGAGTGAGCTGTCGGTTCAGCTGATGTTAAGTGATAACCGCCGCCCATTGAGGTGTTTGACACCTGTAGACTTCCGGATGCGTTGCCTTTTAATAAAGGGGGCCCCGGCCACCTCACTTACCAGACGAAGCGCAGAAGTGTAATACTTCCACTTCTCTGTGAGGTCTTTGTACTTACCTCGAGGACTTGCCCATTCGTGCAACAGCGAAGACTGTAGCGTGGTCCTACCATAGTTATTATTTCTTATATTTTTTTATGCGAAATGTTGCCAAACGAGAAGACGGGTCACCTGATGTTAAGGGAATACCGTCGCCCATGGACATCTGCTACACCCGAGGGTTACAGATGCGTTGACAACCTTTTGAAAATTGGGCTCCGGCTACCTCACTCACCAGACGAAAGTATTTTTCATACTTTTACTTTACGCTTTCCCATTGACATTTCCAACAATCTTAGCATGGCACATGCGTTGCCACCTTTTAAGAAAGTGGGTCCGGCTGCCTCACTCCTCACACCAGACGAAATTCAAAAGTATAACACTTTCTTTTCACTTCAGTCTTCTGTGAGGTCGTGGTACTTACCCGGACGGGGCTGCCCACTCGTGCAACAGCCGAGGCTGCTGCTTGGCCCTACCATCGTAAAATTTATAAGATACTGCGTAGTTTGAATCATTCGTTTGTAGTTTTTATCTGAACTGGTTCCACAGGTTTATGTCAGGTACAGATAGACATTTCACGCGAAAGAATAAAAAATATCGTTACAAATGTAATAATAGCTAATGAATTATAATTTATATTAAGTACAGAACTTTTCACACCACAAACAAAATATCGTTACAAATCCGTTAGCCAATTATAAATTTAATTATTTGCCAATTTAGGTCACTAAAAAAAATCTTCATTAACATAATCCAAATAAAAAAGGGACGTTTGGCAAAAGTGCGCCCATTTTGAACTGTTTCACAAACACGCAATGAAACTGGGTCTGTTCAGTGAGACGGAAACAGTCTGCAATTAGCGAATTTCCCATGCACAGGTTTAGAAACAATTGGAGGGGGCAAAAGAGAACTTTTGGAGTTTTGCGAAATTCAGTAGTAACGTTTATTTCCATCAGAATCGTGTACATTCACGTGCATGAGTGCTTGGGGAAATAAAATAAATTTAAATATCAGTAATTAATATGTTTACTTTTTAAACATGCTTTATGTCCCGTTTTTTATCCGTACCACGACACGGCGTGCAATAGCAGTTGGTAATCTGATCAACTAAATATTGTTAATAAGTGAATTTTACTTTCAAATCTTGAAAGTACAATAATAAGGGCCCTGAGTTTACCATATGTATTAAATTCACATGTAATATAATAATGTCCATTTGTTATTTTCATATTTCAAAATGGTTGGATTATACGGAAAACGTTATTATAACTGGGGATTTACTTTGCAATGAGTGTTTTAATTTTTAGTTCAGTAATACTAGCCGTTACACGAGAGAAAGTACTTGTCCCATACATGTGTAAGCCTCTAAAGGTATATAGGTAACGTAGCGTTTTCCTAAGCCTTGCTACAATGTGGTATATAGCCGTACTTACTTAGGAAAAAATATTATTATTACTTATTTAGACAAAATAAAATAATGTGACCATGAACGCTGGAAAGGGTTCAAAACGTCAGTAATTCAAAAATCTAATTAAAAGCAATAAAATTCGTAACAGTATATCAATTCACTATGTATAATATTCGTGAAAGAACATAAACCAATATATAAACGTAATAGAAATATATCCAAAGGCTGTGTGGCGGTGATAGCCGAACTTGTCAGAAAAAAAATGTCAAAAAAAATTGATCACTCAAACGTTTGCCTGTAACTAAACTATAGGTAATAATCAAATTACTAAAAAAAAACTTCACATTCGCAACGAGAGCCTGACTGTACTTGGAAAGTTTTGCAATCGGTTTGACTGTTTTCTGTTGGTTTTATTTCCTATATGACTTTACGAACTCGGCACAAAAATTTGCTTTCCATATTTTAATAGCAAAATGTCTAGAAATAAAATATTACTTAAATATCACGAAGACCGCGGAAACTGTCAGAAAATAGTAAATTTCGTAATGATAGAGTAAAACGTAAAGTATAACTTTGAAAAAATATTTAAATAAGAAATGGTTTCAAACGTCAAAAATTAAAATTTTCATTCAATGCGGGCATAAGTATTATCTTTTATGAATATTTCGCTTTTAATTTTATTTTCTATCAAACAGACAGCGGATTTGGCGGCAACGGCATGGCGAGAGTTATTTCCACACTAGTGGTCCATGATGTTTTTATTATTGCCCAATTCAACACGCATTTGAGGTTTTATAAATTGTAATAAATTATTTAGATAAATGTGTGAACTCGTTTACTATATTTATTTTTATTTAATTACTTAATAAATGAAGTAACATTATATTCTTTTCAGTTTTGAATATTAATTTGATGTTTTAAATCATCCAGTGACTAAACCTTCTAATATTATAAAGGCTTCTTCGGCAATTAAGGCAACATCACGATCATTTACACATTTATTTTTTTTTTTCGATTCCAGATCATTGCTTCTTTATTTTTAATTTTTTGTCGATTTGTTATTTTTATTTTTTTTTAAAGTTCCAGTTCATATTTTCTCATCATTACGTCGGTAAGATCGAAAAATATTTTTTCCAAAAACACACGATATTTTACGTTATTTCCGCCATTATTTTAAGAAATGGGCTACAAATTGAAATTTTATTGTATAAAATCGAATTCCTATAGGTGTGATATAACCAACAAAAACTTTTTCTTACAGAGTGGAAAAAGATTTAAGTCCCCAACAAAGTTAATTTTAGTTATGCATCTCTGATAACAACTTCACAACTCGGTTCCGAAAATTCCGGACGAAACTCTCATTAAGTATGGTCCAGAAACTGAAGTGAAACTAACTTAATTTCGCTTCTATACAACTTTATTACGTTGAAAATATTTGACGAGCGTAAGTTCTATTAATTTAGTATCTGGCTGCAGTTCATTAATAGATTCTAAAAAAATATATTTTGTATTTTTTTTTTATTTTATGCCATAGTCGCGATAGTAACACGACTTTAGTACAAACGTGTTTCCCCACGATGTTTGCTTCACAGCCAGAGTGGCAAGTCTGCGCGTGAATTCCAATTAATAATTTCAATACGGCAACCAGAATTGAACTTGGTTGTTCGAGTAGTCCGCTTAAAAAACGAGTGCTCTGGCACTGAGCTACCAATGAACCGAATGAAATCTTAGAAGTAATTTAACATTTATTTCAAATATTTGTTATACATCAAGGAACTTAAAACGTACATTTTATTAGGGTTCCGTACCCTAAGGGAAAAACGGGACCCTATTACTAAGACTCCGCTGTCTATCTGTCTGTCTGTTTGTCCGTCTGTCACCAGGCTGTATCTCATGAACCGTGATACAGTAGTTAGACAGTTGAAATTTTTACAGACGATGTATTTCTGTTTCCGTTATAACAACAAATACTAAAAAACAGAATAAACATGTTTAAGTTGGTCGGTTTATTAACTCTAATAGAGTTAGAGAGATATTCATTACATTTTTTTTATATAAGACTCGCGTGGTGGTTAATTTGATGTTACTCTGACATGAGTTAGAGAGATATTCATTACATTTTTTTCTCATATAAGTACTAGCCAACCTATAACTACTAACCAATTAGTTTGTTATAGATTAGCGACCCGCCTTGGCTTCGCACGGGTGCAATGCTGAATGTATGTTTTATACTATAAGAGAATTATAAATATAAACCTTCCTTTTGAATCACTCAATCTATTAAAGAAAACCGCTGTCTGACTGTCCCTAAATATAGGGACAGAGAGACAGCTGGACGACTTTGTTTTAAACTATGTTGTGATAATGGTACGGAATCCTTCGTGCGCGAGTCCGACTCGCTCTTGGCCGGTTTTTACAATTGATGTTTTATAACGAAACTACATTTTATGAACCCTTTATGTATCGAAGTGATAATTCGTATTTTTTGTAGATAAATTTTCAACTTGACTACGGATATGTGGAATAGCTAGAATAAAATAGAAAGGTATGGTGGTATGTTAGAGAGAGACAGAGGACCACTTCAATATCAACAGTTGCTAACAAATAATGTCATAAAAGTATATCTGTCTGTCAATCGCCCGCAGCATAAGCACTTTACAAAGGAGCAAAGCGAATACACATTTGCACCTTTTAAAAGTTCCTGATAGAGCCGGCATTGTTTTGACTGCGTCGGAAGCATCGAGGCGTCTGTTCCGCAGTCAGATGCACAATTTTTCACACAATTTCTGAAGCTTATAGCAGCCTGATTTTCCTTTAACACGTAGTGCAAGATTCCGCATGATTAATTTTGAAATAGCGTCTACGTTACAAAACGTGTTTTGCTGATGTATGTGATTCAAAAAAGTTGATGAAATAATTACGTCGTGGTTTTAGTACAGACCACAAATCAACTAGTACAACCATGTAATGTTGATAAGTTTATCTATTGCTTCGTGGGTATGTAAAGTTGTTGACGTGTTTTGCTATTTACCAAATACTTTGAATAGCAATGTCACTTCGACTTTGCCATGGTACAGAATATTCTATTGATTTCAAGGAATCTTCTATAAAATGTATCATAACTTCTACTTCACTACCATCGTCATCATATTCAGCCTTTCTAAGTCTACTCCTGACAAAGGCTTCCGTAAATAAGTACATGGGTGGTGCTATACTGCGTGGGCTAATACGAGGCTGCCACTCGAGAACCTTTCTTCTTATATACAAAATAGAAACGAGATTATTCCGTATAAATCGAAAAACACGTTTTGCATGATGTTGCAATATACTAATAACAACGTACGAATATAAATATGAGGTAGTTATTAAAGCCTTTGGAAAATCTATGTGAATGCCGTTGTTAGTTTTCGAGACACGCTACATATTTTATTTCTGTGTAGTCTTGTCCATCCAAAAGGAGTCATGCGAAGGAATCCGATCTGATTTCTGGTCAGATCCATACCATACCAATCCATACCGTCACTTACATGACGTTGTACCTCATCCCTGTAGATTTTTAAAGTTGTGTATTTGCACTTATATTAAATTATGTTTACAATAAATTACTACGCGCTGAGGTGCATTTACGCATCATATTTTTAAACTCAAACAAATTAATTTTACTATTTTGTCTAATATACAAGATTATTTCCATTACTGGCTAATCGAAGGCGGAATTATGAAACGTTTTAATTTATTAACTCGATGCATAAACTTCTTCAACGAAGAAAAAATAAAAGAACTTCGGGATTTCATTGTAGAAGAATTTAGAGAGGATATGCTCCAGTGAAATTCTTAGTACTTGATCTGAAGAAATGCTCACGTCATTGGCAATGATATTATGTATATACAAAGACGAGGTAGATATGAAACTGAGGCACTCAAATTACACCAATTGGTGTAATTAGATTGCAGTTCTATAGGATAGACGGTTATCTCTTACAGTAACGCTTTCTATATCATCTGTAACATTCACCCCAATAAGTCATAAAATGTGGAGCGGAACAATTTTGAACGCCACGCGGTATGGACATACGTCATCTATATATCATTGCAGGTGAAGGCGACGGCGCCTAAGATGGACCGCAACGGCTACTTCTTCTACGCGACGTCGACGGCCAGGAAGAAGAGGATCAGCCTCATGCAGCCGCGGCCGCCGCGGGTAGCTTTCGCCGAGGACAAGCGGAGGCCGGGCCTGGCCGAGAGGATCAGTGCGCCGCCGCCCGCCGTCGGTGACGGACGTGCACCCATGACGCACCGCGCGCCGAGCGACGCGCCACGCGCGCGCTTGTACACGCAACTCGAAAGTTACCAGCCGCGCTATCACACGATAAGGGAAAGCAGTGATAAGAGAGTGGAAAGTGACAGGAGGAGGAGGCGCGACACACGGATCGCCGGACCCCAGCCCAGCCAAAGGTGAGTGGATTTTAATGGAACAATATCCAAATATTTATCTTACAAACAAACAGATAACTTGTCATATTCTCCGTCATATCTTCCAGTGTAAATTTAAGTTCGTTAACAAACCTCGCAATATTAGACGAAAACAAAACATTGTACTTAATTCTTCTAGTTATTACTCTCTTGTAATTGTAAATCAGCGCTTTGATAAACAAACTAAAAGGCGAAAATAAATCGTAAGAACGTAGAGTTGAAACGGTAATATTATAGAACGCGTCCGTCGGAATCAACAGTGTGTTTGCCTTTATAAAAGTTAATTCAATTTGGCGCGCGTGCAAATATCATATCGCATTCTCGTGTGTTTGTTTATCCAGCCATTGGCGTGGCTGTTTCACTAATTCAACGCAACGACGTTGCCAACCGAGCCACACTATCAATATAGTGCCAGCGATCGCTAATCATAGTTTTGTTTGTGTTTATGCAAATGTAATTAAACAAAGGATTTTAGGAATACGCGACGGATTTGAATGTTTGAATCCGTTTGGAAGCTGTTAGAGTGAAATTGCCGCTTCCAAATGAATATTAATATCGTGGAATGGATAATGGCAGATCATTAATATTTGCCGGTGGATCATAAACATAATATGAGTTAATAGAACAGTTGTTTGTGTTACGTGCAAACTTTGCCCGTTCGATTCCATATATACGAATGTAACGATGGTTTACTAATAACTATTTGTTTGGAAGTTAATTTTTTATCATTATCCTGTAGTTTAATATTTTATATATTTTCGTTACCCTATCGATATCACAAATGTTTTATTAGTATTAGTATTAGTTAAGTATTTGATGAAAGCTCTTAAAAGTAAACTTCTCTGTAACTGGACTTGTGATTTCAGTTAGTTCGATTAAAAAATATTTGTTTCCAAGTAAAAATTTAATTGAGTCGGGCAGGTAATAAAAACCTAAATTTAGAATTACTCACAAAACAACAGTTAGCAAAATCAATTACAATGTTTGTTATAATACATCATTGAAAATTAATTCACAATTATATTGTTTAATTACGTTGCTACGTAAATATAAGCTGTTTACTCCTGCCACTCTTATGTTGCATATTACGATTTTTACGAACAATTCTTATTCAATTCTTATTCGCTTGACAAATCGATTAATTGAATAAACCTGATGTTGTTTCTCAAGTCTCTGCCTTAAAGCTCCGATGATATATGTGTTGTTCTTAGTGACAGTTTCCTATTAATAATGGTCTCGATAGAAATTACTTTTGTTTCTTATGTCGACGCGATGATTAATTACTTTACGATGCTTTAACAAAAAAGAAATGCAATAACTCTCGCCCCTCGTTTATTTCCTCCTTGTTAAAGAAGGATACGAGGCGTAATGATTCAATGTTTAGGGATTACGTTTTAACAAGGCAATGTAAGGTTAAGTCGATATTAGAAATCACGTTTTATGAGGTTATATATAAGCCGGGATTTACCCAGTTTTTAGGGTTCCGTAGCCAACGGGTAAAACGAGAATCTATTACTAAGACTCCGCTGTCCGTCTGTCTGTTTGTCCGTTTATCACCAGGATGTATACCATGAACCGTGATAGTTAGACAGTTGAAATTTTCACAGATGATATAACAACATAATATACAACAAATACTAAAAAAACAGAATAAATAATATTTAAGTGGGGCTCCCACACAACAGGCATGATGTTTTTGCCGTTTTTATAGATAATGTTACGGAATCCTTCGTACGCGAGTCCGACTCACACTTGGACGTTTTCTTATAATATGGACCGTGCCTGCGTTTCAGCGGGGACGTTTACCGAATTGTGTGGTTATCAAACCGCAATTATGAAACGAACGTGATGGCCTGTATCGTATTATATATTGGCAAAAACTTTTTATTAGATATACATAGAGCTTAATACTAGCAGTTGGCTCAGTCAGTAATTTTAGGTCTCAGGATATTGTCGATGGCATATAATTTGAAGGGTTGGTATGTTAAACTATGGATGCTTGTCGAAGTTTAATGAGGGCTCACTTTATTATAAGACGGTCCTGTTTACTAAATATTCATAACACTTCCTTTGTTTTACAATGAAACACAATATTCGTCTACTTATAAGATGACAAATAAACTTATTACAATGGACAAACTACCGCTTTATGAACCTTGCAATTATCGTGAGAGCAGCTGATAGACCGCGATAGGCAACTGTTCTAAGTTAGGATTGTGGAATTTGAAAAGCGAACATCACAATAATTTCCTTTTTTTATTAAAGAAAAACAAAACCGACTTCGAATCTCTCGCTCTGTAATCATTTTATAATTCAAAGTCAAGTCAAGTCAAGTCAAAAGCTAAAAATAAGCCTATGTTGAATAAAGAAATATTCAACATAGGCTTATTTTAAGCTCTCATTGAACGTCAAAAACTACCACAATTGATTTTCAGGAGTTCCCGTAGTATCTCCGGAGTCCAAGATTACAGTGATATTAATATGGGTCTACACGGGAAGCACCAGCTTTCAAAAAAAAAAAGAATCATCAAAATCCGTTCATACAATCGAAAGTTCTGGGGCACCTACATAAAAATATCAGTCTAATTGAGAACATATTTGAATAAAGCTTGAATCCTTTTACTGAGGGGTAGAAAACTACTGTGCTACGGCCTCGCAACAGTCTCCTCTTGTACGAATGGGCAGATCCGTCCGGGTAAGTACCACAAGCTCACAGAAGACTGACGTGAAAAGGAAGTGTTATACTTTTTGTCTTTCGTCTGGTGTGAGGAGTGAGGCAGCCGGACCCACTATCGTAAAAGGTGGCAACGCATGTGCAACATTAAGGTTGTTGTAACTGTCAATGGGCGGCGGTTATCAGTTAACATTTGGTGAACCACAAGCACGGACGCATCTTCTCACAAAAAAAAAATGCAGTGTTGGTTTATTTTACAGTTGAATATTACCTTTTAATACAAGTTTTCCCCCATTATACTATGAGAATAGCTGGTGAAAGTTGCCATTACCAAAATGATTCCTCAAGATTAGTCGTAGTTGTTTGCGCATAACATCTGTTATTTGCTTTTGTAATATACAATGTATTACCTACGCCAGAATTATTTCCTGTGTTTGCGAGCGCTATATAAAGTTTGTCAACAAAACAGTTTTTCTTAACAATGGATAAAACTTTTTTTACTTTGTACGGAAACTTGGAAACTAAAAAAAAAAAAAAACAAAATACTCACATATTTAACTCGTACGTGGCACAGAGAAATACAATAATGTTTAAAAAGGTTTTTATTTACTAAATTTTCACCTCTTTGTCATATTTATAAAAGAAAAAATAATTTTATAAATGTCCATTCGTTATTCTTTCCTTTCGCTTCATTTCCGGAAAATTACGTGACCTTTCAAGGGTTTTGTATTCCGGAAAGTGAGGAACCTTGAGAGACTATTTTTTCCGTCCCCAAATTTTCCGATAGCCTAATTTTTAACTTTTTCCACGCGAATGTACATTAACCGTTACGTCGTGTGACTTAGGCCCGAATTCGTAACTAGATTGTAATTTGTTATAATCCTCTTAACCATACGGGGAACGGTACGTGATTAACAATGCAACATGGACAGAAGCCGAGTTTGCTGCTGTGCCTATGCAGAATGAAGCTTAAAACCGGGTGTTAGGGTCTGTTTTGGTGTGGAGGTGGTCTTTTTGGGAAATGTGTCGGTTACGAATTTGATAGGCGGCGGCAGAGTCGATTGAACGACGGGTAAAAATGAAATGAAAACAGGGCTTTGAATGATTGACGAACCGCCGGCCCCAATTGTTTTGTTGGCGTTTTCGTCTTGTTATATACTCCGTAATGGCTGGAATATAGGCTTTTGGTTTAAGGTCGCATGTTCGTATCCCGGTTGTGCCGCAGATGTTCCTATCTGGAGGCAAATTGTCCTGCTCTTACGCGATGTACGGCGAGAAACTCCTCATCTGTCACATTTCCGACTAAAGGTCACTCTGGAAAGTAGATAGCTACGATCGTTAGGTTATTTGTCATGTTAGAGGTATTTGACTTCATATTTTTTTTTATCTTTAAATTTACGTATGTAAAATGTGTGTATGGAAGAAGCGCATCTGCCATTGCATATTTTGTTGTGGGTTTGATCCTCACAGGGAAGAAAAAGTGCGTAAACCAAATATAGATCTTCTAAGCCCGGGGTGAATTTGAATCTGTGATTTTTTATTTATAAAGCAGCCGTTTCAAGTCTCTAGTGCAGGAGACGTTTTTTATTAAAATGGAAAATAAAAGAGGGATAATTTTGTCCCCTAATGTAGGTAAGGTTTATGAAAAGAAGCGAGCGTCCTTAGATCTTTTAACAATTCCATTGTGCACTGTCCTAATCATTTTTCGAAACTTTTCTTAATGGTATATTCTCATTAATCGTTCTAGGATCGGGTTTTTGCAGTAGTAGTACTTTATTGGTTCTAATCGATTCCAACGTAGTAACCGGCCTATTAAATGCTGCATCATGAACGTTGTAGTTTTCGAAACGGCGGGTATTAAAAATATGAATGCGAGAAAACATTTTGATTTAACATATTATTACACTATAAGAAGTATAAGAACATGATGTGCGTCGTGAAACATATTTCAAAATATTTGTATCATACAAAATATTATATATCTACAGGATGATTTTATAGATGACGGACATATTAACAGAGTATAAGCAGAATTTGATTCTAAATCGGAATCTGAATCTGGAAAAAAAAGATGAGGTCACGAGAACCCCTCCTTTTTTTTTCAAAGATTATTTTTAATTTTTTTCAAACATTATGGACACCCTATTAGAAATTCCTGCCATACCGTCTCAATACAATAACATATTCACGAGCACTAAAACAGTTTGCTGAACGCATACTTACTAAACAGTCAATCATCAAACAATTGGGTGACCACTCTTAACTGGATAAACAAACAATGTTTGAATTGATATTTTTCTGGTTATTTCTTGTCAAAATAAAATGTTGATATTTTTCAACTCCATATTGGAATCGAACACGCAACCCACGGTGTCATACCTTAGCGACATTCCCAACCCAGACGAGTCACATAAACATCGACAGCGCGCTCCCCGCATTCAGCTCCGTGGTACAAGGGAATTCTTTAATTTCACTCGCAAGAGCTTATCCTCACGTGGAGTTCGAAAGTAATTGCCGCGTGGTCAACTGTGGTCGCTTTCACCCGCTGTTCCCAGGTGTTGGAGCAATTTGGCCCCCAACTTTTGTACTCGGCAAACTGCCCCGACGTCAACGAGGGAACGGTCTGAATTTTTAACCGTCTAATACGCGTCTGAAAGGTGTAAATGGAAATAGGAGGAGTATGATTAAATTCTGGAGTGCACAAAATTGTTATGACGTTTAATGAATATATTTTTTTAAGATCGGGTTATTGTGTTTGGAATTGAAATAAAATGACCGGCATTTGATATCTTAATTAAATAGGCTTTTTAAAATAATTAAAACAATATATTTTTATTAATAAAAATATGTTTTAGATTTAAACCTAATAGTATCGTGTGTTTTGAAGACGTTTTATACTCACAAATCACATGGGAAAATGGCCTTAAACCATTTTTTATGATTCACACAAATCGATATTGTGTTGGAATCAAATCCAGGACCCGCTGCGCTGAAGCCTGAGCAATTGCGTCAACAAAGTTATAAAATAAATGTATATTTTTTATTATGTATCACAATGATACAGTTTGACCATTCGTTAATAATAAACTAATCAGAAGCTTTTTATGAGACTTTTTCCAATCAAATTATGTTCTATCTTCATCGCCACTTACATGAGTATAGAGTGATGCATTCATTGGAGAATATTCCAGCACAATTGAAGGCTATTCTCTGTTCTCTTGTGAACATTATGTTTAGAAGGAATGTCAGACGTCGGCAAAATGTTCCACGCGTTTACCTCACGTACAACAAGCAATGAAACATTTGAGGCATGTAGTTACTTGAACAATGTAACTTCTTTATTTATATAATTCTTCTGTACATGTGTATGTCATTGAACTCCACCTAAACGGCTGGACCGATTTGGATTAAGTTTTTGTGTGTGTACAAGTGGATTCTTGAATGGTCTAGATTCACATTTCGGTCAAACATAATTTTATTTTTAAATTTTTTTTTATATATAAGTTGTGAGAAAAAAATATATATATTTCGAAAATATGTGAAGTCCGCCAATCCGCAGTGGGGCCGCGTGGTGGACTATGCCCTGATACCCTTTCTATAGAGGAGGCCTTTGCCCAGCAGTGGGACATGTATAGGCTGTTACTTTACTTTTTTTACTTTTATATGAGTTGTTATCGGATTTAAGATGTGTGTATAGCACAAGGTCTGTCAGGTCCGCTAGTTTAAATGTAAATAGTGAATAAAGCTACTGATGTAGTTCTCAGACTATGAAAGCTGAACACGCTAAGGTTCCCGAGGGAAGATCACCAAGGTAGCCGTTCTGTTACAGAATATAAAGAAGACGTCGCGAAAACGGATAGTTGCTGTATAAAAATGCAGAGGGTTGGAAAGTATGTCGGTATTTTGAGGAGGACTATGTTCAATTTCTATTTTTCCTGCTATGTGTTTTATTTTGCGGTACGATTATGTTAGGATTACACAAAACTTGTAATGATAGTGTAAGGTTTTGTAAGTAAATAAATTGGTACTTGTCGACCTTTAAGAACGTAATGAAATGATAGGATTACACAAAACTTGTAATGATAGTGTAAGGTTTTGTAAGTAAATAAATTGGTACTGGTCGACGTTTAAGACCGTAATGAAATGATGAGGGAGAGACATCGAATACTCTGGATTGTAATTACAACGATAATTTATATACGTTATATTTCTACGAGAACTAATGATTCGAAACTTATTTACGTAAGCCTTTAGATAAATAGTTTAAACAAAAAATAGTTTAAAAAAAAAGTTTAAGTTTAAAAAAAAAGTAAAAGATAGTTTAAAAAAAAATTAGACAACTGTAAAAATATATCTTCTGGACATTTGCATGCTGTTTAAAACAGCTAAATAGGTTAGGTTGACATTTGTGACAATAAGAAGACCAAAAATTTTTTCTGTACTACCTATTTATCCGCAAATAAATAAACTTAAACTTAAACAAATATTAAATCAACGGAAAGCTGAAATTATATTTGTTGACTCAACATTGATGTTTACACCGGCCCTGTCTTTTCTATTGAAGTCATATTTCAGTAAGCTTCTTATAACTTAATAAATAGAACGCTATTTAATCGAAAACCAGGCAATATAATCTTTCAATTTCTTAGAAACTCTCAATGTGAGGCTCTTAGATATTTTCCAATTGATTATATAAAAGGCCGGTAACTTCCGAAAGGGCTTAAAAAGATATGGTTCCTAGTGATATTTATTTGGTTAGTTTTTTTATATGAGACGGTAATGGGCTAGCGGTTCAGCTGATGTTAAGTGCTAACCGCCGCCCATGAACATGTTGCAATACCAGTAGGGTTGTAGATACGTTGCCACCTTATAATAAAATGTGACCCTCACTCGCCGGATGAAAAGCAGAAGTATAACACTTCCAGGTATTTTATGGGGTCGCGGTACTTACGATTGAAATTTAGAAGAGATCTAATATTTTACTAAACTAGTAAAGTATTAGAACCTCTTCCAAATTTCAATCTAAAATAGTTTTCAACCTCATGAAGAATATACAGCATGATCGGGAAAGTACCACAGTCTCACATTAGCCCGATATGAAGAAACGCTTTTACACTTTTGTATAATTGAAGTAAAGGCTGACGCTCTTCGTAGGCATCATGCCTGCAATAGACTGGTGTTGTGTTTTGTCTGTTATTAGCGGTCCTTGTTAACCATTTACTGAACATTTTCTTTCGCTCGCTGCATGAACCGTTTGCGCAGCAACCATCCCTTTGAAATAAAAACTGCACACTCCTCTAAAAACGCAACAAAAAGCACTCCTCTGTTTTTACCCGATTGTCAAAAGACGATGATGTTTTTCGAATGTAAATATGTATGTTTAATTCTTTGGCACTCTCTTTTGCCTAAACCACACGGCGGTTGGCAACATATGAGGTGAGATGATATTATATGATTTTGCTATTGATATTGAATAGGTAACTATTTAATGTTATTATGAAGTTATTAAACGAAACCCTGTCTCGAAACGCCATTGTTTTCGTGACCACTTTGTAAGAAAACCGGAAGTCCACTTGAGTTTTTTCAAGCAGTTTTTTTTAAATAGCAAAATAAAATTGCTTCGTTACGGAACATGAGATAGATTATTTAAACTGTTAGTTTTTTAACTCATATTATCGTATAAGTGCCGATTGGTTGTGGTAGAGGCAGTTTAAGAGCATACAATTGCTTGACTTTGACGTGTCGAGAGTAGAACTTAACTTCAACCGCTTCGCAGTATAAGGGTGCAATAATCAAAATAATTATTCTCTTTATTTATCGTATATTTAACACACATATTTCCTTACAAAAATCGATTTGATATTAGGAGGTAATTTCTTAACATTAAATTCCACGTAGAAAATGTCCAGTTTTTGAATTTATTCACATTTTTGTAATAAAAATTTAAGATATTTTACTTAATTATACGTTCTAAAAGGGTAAATTCATGAACAATAGGCTGGCATGCTTAAGACATTCTTTGAATATTTTCCTGGATTAATGAGGAGGATTTGACGACAGAGGAGTTTTTGAAGATGGAATTTATGTCAAAAATATATTTATATTTTAGCTTCTGTTTTCTTGTTTCTTTAATGTATTTTTTTTTTTTCAATCCAGCTAGTACCTTGCATTTTATAAAATTAATTCTATCTTTGACCAATATCTGTTTCAAGCTGTTATTCATCTTCTTTTTATTTTCACGCATCATAAAAAGTTTTCGAGAGATGTTTTCATCTTATTTGGTTATACATTACAATTTAAGCT